TCAATCTTTTCTACTTCTTCTTGATTAAGGTGTTCATGTCCTCCCGTTGTGAGGTCGCTGGTTTCTGGTGGCTTCATGTTGCTTTTCAGCTTGTTGGGTGAATTCTTGCCTTGGCATCTGCCCATCTCTTCTTCCAAATGCTCCCTTATGGATCTTCTTTTACCGGATCAGGTCTCCTTACCTACCCAAAGCTGGCTCTCCCCAACGTTGGCTCTCCTGGCGCTGAGAGATCAGGTCTCCGTGCTGGTTGGGCAGGTCGCAAACAAAGCGCCTACCCTGCTTGGTGCAGACAGGCGATCGAAACAAAGGGACTCCTGCCCGCTTGGGTGCCCCAAGGATTCGGACCCAGTGCCCAGACAGGCTGGGCTGGGTGATGTTATGTGCCGAAAGAGGCTCTGTTGTATTCTTATTCTAAGTAGAGTATGGGGGTTTTGCGTATACTGTGTACGCATGTGTATGAGTCGGGGGGATGCCACAGGGAAGAGAAAAGGGATCATTCAGAGTGGGAAGTAGGAGCAAGAAAGGACAACGAGGGATATATAAAGAGCAAGGCAAATGATAGGCATATATGGAAAAGTTCATAATGAAGCCCTTTATTTTGCGATGAAGACATACTAATAAAAAAGAGAAAATAATCACTTATAGACATAGGATGCCAGAGAAGGCTAGTTAAAATGTGTAAGAATATTTAAACTGGGGTTTTCTTGTGAGATAAAGTGCTTTTGCTACCTCCTCAAGGCATCATACACTCTCAGGCTTTGAATGGAACTTGGACAGACCCTTGTTGCTCTTACACTGTAGAGTTCTGTAAGGGGAGACATTTCCACTTTCCACGTCTCCACACTTCAGCAGTTTTTCTTGGCAACTGTCTCTCCTGTAATTCAGGGAGTGGCCTTCTGCTTGGCGTCACTGCGGAGGCGGAGCCTTCTTGGAGCTGTGCCTGTGAGTTCTACTCTGCCAGCCTTGGGGGAGGAGCCGCATTTTACCAGACTGCAGCTGACAAGAAGCATCAAGGTAATGTCTGACTTAAATTTATTTTCTAGTGACTTCTCAGAGCTCTGGGATCAAAAATGAGAAAATAGGAAGGATGATCCTGGAGTGGAAGGAACACTGTGTGATTTTTAAAGAATTGCTGGCATTTTGACGGAATTAATCCTCTGGAACTTTTGTGTCTCCCAAGGTTTTTTAAGTCCACAGAGGGGAAAGAGTGATCAGATTACAGCCTCTAAATTAAGGCTTCAGTGCAGCATGGCCGGTCACGCTAATTTCCTAACTTGGCAGACCCTGTTAATATTACAAGGCGTTCTGTTATTCTCTGAAGTTTCAAACATTTATTCATTTACACAGAACTAAAACTGACAAAAGTATTCAACAACAGTGTATTGATGCGTCTGCTAATTGGAATACACAGAAAAGTGTGTATATGTTCCATGCGTAGGAGTATAGGAAGGGGACCAAATGTGCAGTTGAGTGAAGACCTGGGCACATAATCTATGTGTGTATATATGTGTGGTTGGAGAAAAGTGACAGAAACTCCTGTGTTAGCATTCAGCATTTCTGGGTAGTCAGGCTGCTGTTCTATTTGTAATAAGTTTATCCCATTTCAATACCATTAGAGTGTAGATTGCCTTACGGTTATTTGATTGTGAAAGAAAAATGTATTTCAAACAGCACACTCATTTTGTTTCAGGCACACATGCATTTATAAACATACTTAAATGCTTCTAAACCATACTTATTTTTGCCAGGAGTGAAAGTTTCCCTACATCTGGTCAAATGAGTAGCTTAGTTGCTGTTTTGATTATAACTAACTCTGTGTGTGTCCTCCTTGCACTTCACGTGGTGAACCTAGATTGCCAAAAATTATTTTTCTGTATCATCTAAGTGTATGGCCAAAATGACACATTTGGCTTATTCCTATAAGCCATATAAAGAATATTATATTATACTTGCAAACTCTGTAGTATTACATAGCTGGTAAATAGAAAACAGAAGCCTCCAAAGCTTCTGAGAAATATAAAACCTGATAAATAGAGAAAATTATGGAACAGTAACTACATTTGCTATTTCAATATATGTTTGTTACTATAATGGATGCAATTAAATATCAGAAATTCATCTCTAACAAAAATATGCATTATCTATATAGAGAATCAGGGCTGCCTTTACCATTCTGTATATTTAAAATAGCAACCCATATATATTTGGGCTTTTTTACATCTTCAGTGAAATATTGAGATAAAATATTACAGACTTGTTACAAGGCTCATTTAATAAGTTATGTAAAATCATGTGGAAAAAACTTATTTATATAGAATCATATTGAAATCAGACTCTTAAAGGGGGTTCCTGAACCTGGTTTGAAATGGGCATTCATTCTCCGATGTAAACATTTTCTAGAAAGAGAATATTCATGGTGGATATTAGTGTCAAGTTGTACTTGACTTTTATTTTTATATGTATGTGGTATCATTTCAATTTTAAGTGAGCTTCTGAATCATCGGAATAACTGTGCTGAAAATATTACCCTATTTCTATCCTGACTACAAACCCTTCAATGTACTTTATTTAATGTTTCTAAATGTGGTACAGGGAATGGAACCTAGGACCTTAGAGATGCCAGGCAAACACTCTAACACTGAGCCACATCCTCAGCCCTTAAATCCTTATACTTAGCATAAAGGATTCTAAAAACCCAAGAAGGCTCTTGATGGTTAGCACAGTTTCTAACCTTCTTCCATAAAAAGGATCTTGTGTTAAGGACAATGAGGACTACTGAGAACTCAAGAACAATGGCACTGGGTTTTGATCCTACTGCACATACTGGCTTTGTGGGAGCCTAGGCAGTTTGGATGCTCACCTAACTAGACCTGGAAGGAGGTGGGTGGTCCTTGGACTTCCCACAGGGCAGGGAACCCTGATTGCTCTTCGGGCTAATGAGGGAAGGGGACTTGATTGGGGGAGGGGGAGGGAAATGGGAGGCGGTGGCGGGGAGGAGGCAGAAATCTTTAATTAATTAATTAATTAAAAAAAGAATATACATATCTCCATGAAAAAAAAGAAGGATCTTGTGTTAAAGTCCTATCTATATCACCAACAGACTACATTTCTGCTTCTAGTCATAACATGGCATATGTGCCAGAAAGCCTGAATTTTCTTCAGACAATCATTGTTATAAGCAGGGAAACAAAGCAGAGAAACTATTTTTTAATTAATTAGACTATGAGACAGAGTGTGCCATATAACTGTGATTCTATTATAAACAATTGCAAGTTTAAATAAATCCACTTGATAACTAAGGTAAAGATTCAATCAGAAAGTCTAAACTGTGATTCATAGTAGACACAAGATAATTTCTCACCTCCCTTCCCTCATGCCTCACCTCCTACTTTTCTAGAAAGAGATCATTTCAGCATGAATGGTAAGGAATGTTTCATCTTGTAAGGATACAAGGGAAAACAAATATGACATTGTAGTGATATTCCATTTGTATTTCATAAATAAAGCTTGTCTCAAGATCAGAGAGTAAAACAGCCCCACGGTCAGCCTTACTGACCAGGCAGTGGTGACACACCCCTTTAATTCCAATAGACACACTAGTTGCCATAGAAACCAAGTGGTAGTGGTGCACATACTTAATCCCAGCCCTAGAGAGAATTATAAAACAGGAGGAGACAGCTCTCACACACAGTCTCATTCTGAGATTCCTGGAGGCAGGATCGCCATTTTGGACTAAGGTAGAGGCAAGAGCCAGTAGCTGGCTGCTTTGCTTTTCTGACCTTTAGATGAGCCTTATTTATTAAAATACAAATGAAATATCACTACATGACATCTACATTAATGTTGAGATTTTATCTCATGCCTGTGTTTCACAGTGGCATGCCACTGAGTTTAGGTAGGCAGGTTGTTGTTCTTTTTATTTTTACCACTTCCCTTTTACTTATTTGGTTCCCTGTCTTCTTTTTGTCCAGCCTCGACTGATATCAGAGGCTCATGACCTGTGGGAACTCTACATGTGATTCGACTTGAGCCCAGAAAGGCAGTGTGACTATATACGTGCCCCCAAGGGTAAAAGGGCTGCCTGGAAATCAACTGGCTTGAGAGTCAAGATAGTTGGATCACATTGCAAGACTGTCACCATCCATGTGACAGAGGGTAAGACATGTCCCATTTCAGGAGATGCTTCACATTTGAAAATACAATGAGATCTTAAAGGATACTTGACTTTGCTTCCTGCTTTCTATCTGAAGCATTACAATTTAAAAGCAACTTTTGTATAAACATAAGTCAGTTGAAAGTTTGAAGCAAAGCCTTGTGCTTAGCTAAAACACTGCCTTGTAGTGTTAATGAAGTATTGGAATCATTTTAGAACTTCGTGGAATTGTAATTTTTAAGCTCATTCTAGAACTTCTGAATAAGACTTTACAAATGGAGCCTAATGCTAGGCAGTGGTCACACATGCCTTTAATCCCTGCACTCAGGAGGCAGAGGCAGGTGGATCTCTGTGAGTTCGAGGCCAGCCTGGTCTATAAGAGTTAGTTCCAGGACAGGCTCCAAAGCTACAGAGAAATCCTGTCACGAAAACCCAAAAAAGAACAGAGGCTAACATTCTATGAGGCCCTCCATATGATCCTCATGGTTGCTAGATTTGAAGTTTCACTACCACAGAAGTAATACTAGGAATACAAAAAACTCAAAGTATTGGATGACATGAATAGATTCCGTAGCATACAATTACAAGTACTTCTAGCTATAATGAAGCATATTCTTTAGCAAAACTGTAAGGGTTCTTGAATTGAGGTTATCATACAAGTTTATTTCCCACGGTTACCTCCCTGTCCATTAGGCTGATATTTTTTTTCTATCTGGTCTCTCAACGAACACAGCTCTCTTTATTTTATCTCTTTTGTTTGTTCTTGCTCACCTGCTACTTTGGCAAGATAGTTTTATTTATTAATAGTGTTTTCCCTATTTCAGTATCTTCCATAGTTCTTATTCAAACAACATGTTCAAGTATCCTGGGGACATATTTGTGGAAGAAAACAGTGCACATAAACCATAAACTCTTTGTGGCTCCAAACCAAAAGAAACTTTAATAAGACTGTTGTTTTGATAGCACTTGTATTTGCAGACACAAGGTCAACCAATCTTTGTAATACTAACTACTTGTCACACTAATCTAAATCATAATGGATGGTGACTATGTCCTATGTTTTTGGAAAGAACAGTTATGGCCAGCAGAAGTCTTATGTAGGTCTGAAATTGCGTCAAGTAGTAAAAGGGTAACGGCATATTCTCTGGAAGTTCAGTTACTTCCAATAGGTGAGAAAATTACCGTGATCAGCAGAGACACAATACCACTAACTAAATCCGAGGTTGAAGCTATTTTGGCCTCACTAGCAGAACAGTCAGAGGTCAAAGTTCTCCCTAGGGAAGAGACAGCCTATGAAAAATCGCTGAAAATGGCGCTGGAAGTGGTGACAGAGATAAATGAGAGCCAGGAAAGCATGCCAGATGAAGAAGACACCGCTAGAGCATCTGAAAGTGAACCGGTGGAGGGGTCTGATTCACCTCCCCCTAAAAAGTATCGGAAACTGGAAAGCAGCCCCCAAGAAGACTCAGCCTCCATTTTACTGTGCTCAGAGAGTGATGATTCCCTAGCTGACGATAAGATGCAAGTGTACACCATTTATGGGGGTATTCCAGGTGAAGAGGATTCAAAGCCACCCCGGGGCTTCAGCTGGTACCCAGTTTACCCTTCGTTTATAAACGATGATGATGATGATGATGATAAAAAAGAAGAAAAGAAAAAGGTTGACATCTCAACAATTATGTCTGTGAATTTATCATTCAAAGAGGAAAGTGAAGACATTAAAGAAGAAAAGTTTATTGTATCAGCAGACGATCTGGTTGTAGCCAAAGAAGAGATCCAAGGCATGTACCCAGAAGCCCCAGCAGGTTCCTCTGAGTGCTCCACCTTCCCAGAGGATTATATGGACGATCCTGGAGAGGGCCCATCATATCTGATTCCATGCTTCTATGGCAGCCAGAATCTCTATGGCAGCCAGAATCTCTGTGGCAGCCAGAATCTCTATGGCAGCCAGAATCAATCTTCTGTGGAATCAGAAATGGATGCTGAGACCTCCCCTGAAGGCTGCTCAGGGGACTCTCAGGTTTCACTTCCTGTCTGTAGTAATCCAGTCAACAGTGACCTACTAATTCAGAGACCAGATTTTGAAGATCTTGAGGAAGAAGCTCAAGCTTCTGACAAACTACCTTCTCTAAATCCTGTTAGTGCAGCTGCACTAGGCAATGATGAAGAGAATGAAGAAGAGCTTCCGCGCTTCCTTCTCCGCTACGAGACGCGGGCATTTGAACCCGGAATGATAGTGTGGTTTAAATATCAAAAATGCCCATTTTGGCCAGCAGTGATAAAAAGCATTAGGCGAAAAGAGAGGAAAGCAAGTGTGCTTTTGGTTGAGGCAAACATGAATCCTCAAAAGAAAGGCGTTAGAGTCTCTTTGAGAAGATTAAAAAAATACGACTGTAAAGAGAAGCAGGAACTAGTGGAGAAAGCTAGGGAGGAGTATGGTGAAAGCATCGATTGGTGCGTGTCGCTGATTTGCGACTATAGAGTTAGACTAGGTTGTGGATCTTTTAAGGGCTCATTCTTTGAGTACTATGCTGCTGACATCAGTTACCCAGTCAGGAAAATAATCAATCAAGACACCTTCAGAAATATCTTTCCAAAGCTACCCAATGAAGACACAGGGGAGCAAATGTCTGTGACTTCCCATGCCAAGAAAATATCTTTCCAGAAAATTCTCCCTGATCGGATGAAGCCTGCTCGGGACCGTGCTAACAAGAACCTGGTCAATTTCATTGTCAATGAAAAAGGTGCAGAGAGCCATCTCTTGGGCATTTTAAAGGGCACAAAAAAATCCAGATGGCTGAAATCATTTTTGAATGCCAAGAGTTTCACACCCTGTATCGAAACATACTTTGAAGATGAAGATCAACTAGATCAGGTGGTGAAATATCTACAAGAAATCTATAAACAAATCGATCAGAAGATGCTCACTCTGATAAAAAATGACAAAATTAAGTTTATCTTGGAAGTTCTTCTACCAGAAGCGATTATTTGCTCCATTTCTGTAGTTGATGGCTTAGATTATAAGGTGGCTGAGGCAAAGTATCTGAAAGGACCGTCCCTTGGCTATAGGGAGAGAGAATTATATGATTCCAAAATCATATTCGAAAAGAGACGGAGGTCGTCAGCAAACGAAGCTCAGTAATTATGCCAAGAGTTGAAACCGTAAGGGAAGCTAGAGGAAACTTTGGAAAAGTAATCATCTAGAATTTCCAACATGTAAATATTGGCGAAAATATGTGCAGGGAGGGTCTTTGAATTACAAGTCCTTTTATTTTTGGAAGATCTGTGCAATCTGCAGATACCACTACATCCATCTTTATTTTCTTGCAGTTTTTCAGAATCAGCATTGTCAATATATTTTTAGCAGTTTAATTTCTTAATACATTTTAGAATGCATAATTCTTAAGCGATTTTAAGGGAAATTACTATTTTGTTCTATGATATTTTGTGTCTTTGCTGTGTAGGTAAATACAGTATGCACATTCAGTTTGATAAAATTGCACTGGTGTTAGATTTTAAGCTAGAGAATTAGAAGAGATGTCGAAAACAAATATTAGTTATATATTTTTTTGCTCAGTTTTTTAAATAAAATACTAAGTTTTCTCTTAAGATAGCTGAATTATTTTTCTTGTCATGCTTATTTATTTTTTGGAAAATTATCTCTAAATCATAGAACCAAAGATAGACTACATGTTGCTACATGTCATAACTAACCACAATCGCTTTTGCAAGGAAACAATCTAAAATTAAAAAGTATATGGGTTATCTGCATGTATTCTGTGTGTGTGTGCGTGTACAACATCTCAGCATGCAGAAAATGACTTTTGGCATCTATGAACAGAATTGTTCATTCTACACTTCTCTGAAATTCCAGTTTGAGGAGTGTCTGTCTTTTGATGCTGAATCGTTTTTAAAACAGATGAGTTTCTGGTTATCTTCGTAATTGTGAGTAGGTCTTATTACTATAGCTATCTGAGCACATGTAGAAAACAGTTATAATTAGCATATCAACAGTACTGCCCCTCCACACGCCAGGGTTGCTGCGTCAAGGTCTACCTAGTTAGTATAAACTAGAAAAAGCAAGCACTGTGTTCAGAATCCTGTCTCCAGTTAGAAATCCATTTGTCTCAAACCAAGCAAGCTTTAGCACCTAGCTTATGTATAGAATGGTTCCAACTGGTTCCAATAACATAAATGCCAACTGGTAAATCATTCCAACCTACTAGATGGACCAGAATCTGGAAATCTGGAAAAAATGTTACAGCAAAAGTTCTTTACTTGCTACATGTGGCATTTGTTCTGTATATGGTTATGTATACAAAATCAGATGTTCTTGTAACTTGAAACAAGATTTTTTATAAGTCTTAGAAAAGCTAGTATATTAAAAAAAAAAGCTTGATGGGAAAAGATGTATTGAAGGTGTAGACACAAACCTGTCTACATTTTCACCTCATAGAGTGAGACAACTTTCCCTCTTGGGCTGTTCTTCTGTGTTCATTTCACATGACTATATGGTTATGTACGATTTGCAAAGTTTTGGTATTTGATTTATAATGAAACCGTGATATCTTTCACCTTATAGGTTAATTTAGTTGTATAGCAACATGGTGGTGGTTTGCGTAAATTAATATATGTACATGCATATATATATATATATATATGCACACACAATTTGTTTGAAACTTTTGCTCATTGTCATCATTTAATTCTTGTTAGGAATTGTCATTCTAAATAAATGCTTACTTTCATGATTGATTTTGTATTGTTTTAAAAGAAAACCTTCCCGACTGTTTATGCTTTCTATGTAACGAAATCATCTTTGGATCCTGTCTAAAATTTACCAATATTCTTATATACACAATGTGTCAGTGCCCATATTTTTCACCTAGCTTTTACAAGTTTGTTAGGACACAACACACTATACAATATGTAGATTCTATATCCTAGGAAAATGCATTATATTTACACTATATACTATGTCCCTCTGGCTCCAACTTATTGCCCCCTTCAGTCTCCCCAGGAAGTTATCTCTGTATGCTGGTTCTAATACATTTTAATTACTCTACTCATTGCTGTGAATTAGGAGATCAAGTATATGCAGTTTAAATCTTTGTTCTGAGTGTAGGTTGTGGGTGCCATATTAATGAGACCCAGATTGACAGTTTCTAATGTGACCATGTTGTGTTACATCACACTGAGAAATAGTAAACTTACAGATTGCTTATATTTGAAAATATGAGCATCAGATTTTTTTTTATATTAGGGAATGCCTTGTTATTCTCTTTGAGGTAAATCTGACCCCCTTAGAAATATCATCTATCTTTTGGCATACACTGAACTGAGACACCTGTGTCCTTTGAATAGCTTATCAAATGTTATTTGGGCTGTAGAAAAGAATGAGCTTAGTTGACTTCCTCAAATTGCTTTCAGACTATGTGAATATTAATGCAGGCTATACGTTTGTCTCAAGCTTGATCCTTAGCATACGCTTTTAATCCAAGGGAAATGCCTTTTTTGCCATCTACCCTAACCACTGGGTAAAGATGACTCTCATCTCTAGTTAAATGAAGCCTGCTCAATTTCAAAACCAGATTTTATTTAGGGGTCTGCCAAGCTGCATGGAGACTTGAACAGTATTCAAAGGGTTATACATCAATGTATCTGTATCCAATCAAGGAAAGAATGGAATTCTGAGACATAGAATATAGATAGAAACAATAAACTTTTTGAAATATAATTTCACAAAGCACAAACTGGCCTGGAATTCAAAATGTATTTAAGGCTCCCTGTGCACTTTTGATCCTCCTGTTCTTCCTGCCATTGGGAGTGAACCACCTTGTCCAGGAAAATGAGAATCTTGAATACCTAAATCATCTGAACCTTCAGCCCAACAAAAGCAGTTAATTTGAAATTGTTGAAAGCATATGTGTAAGCATCTGGGAGTTTAGAAATGAATCAGAGAAATATTCCCCTTTAGACAAAGTTAAATGTATGATTATATACAATATGAAGTTAACATCCAAAGCGAGTGAATTGACAATCCTAAATTGATATGAGCTTTTGTAAAAATAAATGTTAGCAAAGCTAATGCTCATATAAAACTAAATGCTTAGACCTAACCACATTTTTATCTCTTTGTATGGTTTATCTGAACCTCATTTGTGATGCCACGCATATTCAGTATAATGACTATATCAACTCAATCTACATCTTTTATTGGGAGAAGGGAATAGTTTTCCTTTCTCCCCTTCACTTAAAAGAAGCTTCCTTTAATGTAAATTAAGTTGTATTTCTTATTTAATGGGTGAATCCCCATTTTCCTTTTATTTAATATACTTTTGTTTAGAGGAGACAGGATCAGCCAAGATAAATGGACATTAAAAATACAACACATTAGCCGGGCGGTGGTGGCGCACGCCTTTAATCCAAGCACTCAGGAGGCAGAGGCAGGCGGATCTCTATGAGTTTGAGGCCAGCCTGGTCTACAAAAGCTAGTTCCAGGACAGGAACCAAAAGTTACAGAGAAACCCTGTCTCGAAAATCAAAAAAAAAAAAAACAATACATTGTCACATTTATGATGTTGATTTTCAGGAATAAAGCAGATAAAATGTCCTTATTTGGGTAGGCTCTCTGAAGCTTGATTAAGGAAGCCCAATGACAAAGTAATTCATTGAGACAACAAACATGGTATCATTTATTTTCTCAGTTAATTCTTTGAGAATACTCAGTCAAATTGAAAAAAAAAATACAGTAGCAACCCTGATGTTGAAAGTTGGATGAGTGAATTTTAAAAATATGATACATGAATCATTTAACTATTGAATCTGCCACTTTGATCATTGTGAAAACAACAGCATGGGTTTACACAAACCTAGATGATCTAGCTCTGCTACATACCAAGGCTCCATGATGCATCTTATCACTCACGGGTCATAAGTTTCTACAGCATGCTACTTTACTGAATACAGTAGGAAACTATAATCAATGGTAAGTATTCATTCCTAAACATATAAAAGATAGAGCAAAACCAAAACATGGGTGATTAAATGTTGTCTTACCAAACTTCCACAGTAGCTTGGAATGGAGTATAACAAAGGTTTATTTATTTTGGGATAAACCCATAGTCATCTGCTTGCACTGGGAATTGGAACCATATCCAACAAAAAAGAGAGCTGCACAAGTTTTTCTTCTGCTTTTATAGTATATGAGACCATGCCCCAAATGGGCTGGTATCGTAAAGGCTATTATTGGCTGAAGAAGTTCCCACAACACCTTTCCCTTTTGTCTAAATAAGAGTGTTCTAAGCCTAGTACAAAACTATATAAAATAAGAACAAATATCAAGTATTGTCCAGAAAAAAGAAGAGGCAAAAACACAAATAAAATTTAGAATTACATGCTTTTTAAGTCATAGTCCAGCTGGCCTTGGTGAGCTCCCAATAGATCAGCCCCACTGTCTCAGTGGGTGGGTGCACCCCTCGTGGTCCTGACTTCCTTGCTCATCTCCCTCCTTCCGCTCCTCATTGGGACCTTGGGAGCTCAGTCCAGTGCTCCAGTGTGGGTCTCTGTCTCTATCTCCATCCATCACCAGATGACTGAAAAAGCATGGGATAAAACCGGACTCTCTGAACATGGCAAGCAATGAGGGCTGATGAGAAGCCAAGGACAATGGCACGGGGTTTTGATCCTACTTCATGTTCTGGCTTTGTGGGAGCCTAGCCAGTTTGGATGTTCACCTTCCTAGACATGGATGGAGCGGGGAGGACCTTGGACTTTCCTCAGGGCAGGGAACCCTGACTGCTCTTTGGACTGGAGAGGGAGGGGGAGAGGAGTGGGGGGAGGGGAAGAAGAGTGGGAGGAGGGGGAGGGAAATGGGAGGCTGGGAGGAGGCTGAAACTTTTTTTTCCTTTTCTCAATAAAAAAAAAATTAGAATTACAACCAGAATGAAAAACATCAAACAAGAAACGTGCTAAATGTTACAATAACTATCCTATCCTAAGGAGTCTAAATCTTACATTAAAAATTTCTTGGCTAAGTCATGAGAGGATAGTAACTATGGCTGTCTATTCTTCAACCCCATCGAAGATCTGAGGAGGGAAATAATATTACCTCAGTAAACAGGAAGTGCAATCAAGCAATTTCCAAAAGGCACAAGAAATGACAGAGACACTTGGTTACCTGTGCAATCACCCAAAGTCTCATTTGCAAAGCTGGGGCAACCAACTTTGGCTAAGGCCTAGAGTATCTGACAGACCATTTTCAGAGGCAGGAAAAATTTCAAAACCATCTTGCCCTGTCTTGGCAAGGTTTGGCAGTCTTTTTGATTGTATCCTGCTTGTCCAGTTTGGACACCATACACTTTGTCAGCAGTCGATGGAGGGGCAGTTCTTTGTCCAAAGGCCAGTTTTGCCAAGAAGAAAACAAACTCAGTGCCCAACATTCTCTCAGGAATAGATCAGTACCACCAGGAGCAATTGTGTCTCACATCAACAGAATCCTAAGTTACTTAAATGCCATATTGTACAGTTCTTTGAAGTGGTTACAAATTACTTATCCATGAGGAATACAATCTCTATGCATCTAAAGAACCTGACTAGTCTATAAGAATGACAAACATGGATGACTATTGACCTGCAAGTCTTAATACCTATATAGCTTAAAGACTAAGGCTTCATATTAAAATATTGAACAATCTTTAAACAAATGTGCAGAATATATATATATATATATATATATACACACACACACACACACACATATGTGTGTGTATCTTGATCAGAGGTAGAAATGTACAGTGCAATATGATAAATATATCCTAAAATTGCAGCAATATACAAAATATCTTAAGCAGAGGTAGAAACATACATGCATATGATGTGGGATTCTCCTCTGTATGCTGTGATTACAATTAATGAATAAAAAAAGCTGGCTTGAGTTGAGCCTGTAGCAGGGCAGGACAGAGGTAGGTAGGGAAAACTAAACTGAACGCTGGGTGAAAAATAGCAGAGTCAAGTGACGTCATGCAGCCCCACCAGAGACCTACGCCAGAACTTTGCCCAGTAAGCCACAGCCTCATGGTGATAAACTGATTAATGAAAATGGGTTAATTTAAGATATGAGTTAGTCAGAAATATGCTTAAGC